TGTCAACTCTGGGACGGCTATAACTCACTGAATAAGACAGGAACCCTGGAGTCCATGTGGATAGTAAGTAGATAAATAGGCAGGCAGGTGAAAGGGGGAAGAGTTCTTTCTTACCAGATTGCACTTGAATATCAAGGGCCATTAAAAAAAAACAGCTTACTGATTTTTCCACAAGACAAATTTCACTCTACCTCTTCCCATCCTTTAATCCACTCTTTCCAGACACTATAGATAGATACTTTCCAACTTCCAAATAGGCATTCATGTTCTTAAGACTTTTCTTAAGAAATAAACAGAAATAATGTATTTCTCAGGGTCTCTGTATTAGAATCAACCCAACAGTCCCCTAGATAGGTTAATGGATAAACACAGAAACTGCCCTTTCCGGTCTTAAAGCATAAAACTTACATTTGTTTTATCTGAGTTCCTTAGGAAAAGCCCTTCAAGGCCTCTCAAAAAAATGGTGTCAAGGAACTGAAACTCACCAGGTCACTACATTGGGAAAATGAGATAAGGGACCCTCCTTCATCATGATTACCTCCTTGCCCCTCCCAAGTTCCTGTTTGTTACAATTGTTTCATTTCTTCCCTGCCATATAGACCCCTCGTTTAAGTCCATCAGGGAAATGGATTTGCCCCATCTCCTAGGCTGGAGTACCCAATGAAAGCCTTCTTCCTTGGCAGTACTTGTCCTCAGTCACTGGCTTTCTGTGCAGAGGGCAGCAGGACCTAGACCAAACCCCCTGGTGTTTTGGTAACAATTATCATAAAAAAAAATGATGAGTTCAAATATTCCAGGCCCTAAGAGGCTGGAATTCTGATGGTGGAAGTGTGTGTATAAAAAATAAAAGAAAAAAAAAAGACTGGAATAAAAGCCCAGCCTAATTTTCAAAATTCTGAAGAAATCACTAAGGAAGCCTCTCTTTTTCCCCTTCCCCAAAATCAAACCAGATAGAATTCGTCTTATTCTTTGTCTCATCTTTTTTTTTTTTTTTTAGACAGTCTTGCTCTGTCTTCCAGGCTAGAGTGCAATGGCGCAATCTCAGCTCACTGCCACCTCTGCTGCCCAGGTTCAAGCGATGTTCCTGTCTCAGCTTTCTACGTAGCTGCAACTACAGGTACACACCCCCACACCCTACTAATTTTTTTTTTGTATTTTTAGTAGAGACAGGGTTTTACCATATTGGTCAGGCTGGTCTCGAACTCCTGACCTCAAAGTGATCCACCCGCCTCGGCCTCCCAAAGTGCGAAGATTACAGGAATGAACCAATGAGCCCAGCCTCTGTTGCTTCTTACTATGGCTCAGAGTCACCTGATGTCTCCATCTTTCTTCTAGAAAATGTCTCCGTATGATGGTTATAATAAAATGTAGCCAACCCATGCATCTTTGAGGACTTGTTAGCTGGCTACCAAAACTAGTTTTCTTTCTCCCTCCCTCCCTTCCTTTTTTAGAACCAGGGTCTCCCTTTTGTACCCTGGCTGGAGTGCACTGGTGTGATCACAGTTCACTGTAGCCTTAAACTCCAGGGCTTAAGCTATTCTCCCACCTCAGCCTCCCAAATAGCTGGGAGCACAGGAGCACTCCTCCAGGTCAAGCTAATTTTTAAATTTTTTTGTAGAGATGTGGGTCTTGCTGCCCAGGCTGGACTTGAACTCCTGGACTCAAGCAATCTGCCTGCCTCAGCCTCCTAAAATGCTGGGATTACAGGCATGAGCTAACACACCCAGCCAAAACTCTTTTCCAATAACATTCTGTTCCCCAGAATTCTTGTGATTGCTTTAATGATCAAATAAATCACATTTTCATTACATGTCATTACACAAACTCTAAGAAGATAAAGCACAAAAACCATTTTGTGATCTCCTTAAAGAGGCAAATACACTAGACTATTCCTTTTCAAATAATTATGAATCTGAAATGTATTACAGATAACTTCTCAGACATTAAATATAAAGGGGGGACATAACTATAGCCCAACAGGAAACATTTCATCGAACGGCAGCACTAAATACCCTACAACAAGAAGAAGTAAGACAGGCAGCATCTTTCCAATCTGTCATTAGGCTCCTAGAAAATACAGTAGAAACAATGGTAATGTTGCTAAAATTAGTAACTATGACATAGTAACTCAGAAGGACCTAACCACACACTGATGGCCTTTCCTCCTTATACTGTGCACTTAAAAGCGGTTAAGAAAATACATTTTATAATAGATATATATATATACTTTTTACCATAATTTTTAAAATGAGGGGGAACCATCTGGCTGGTGTAAGGGAGTCTGAGAGATGGGGTTACTGCTGTTTCTATTTTCCTAAAACTTTGCATAATAATGTCAACTGGGAGTTTCACATAAAATTCAGCAAATCTGGCCAGGTGCCGTGGCTCGTGCCTGTAATCCTAGCACTTTGGGAGGCCAAGGCAGGCAGATCACAAGGTCAGGAGTTCAAGACCAGCCTGGCCAACATGGCAAAACCCCGTCTCTACTAAAATTACAAAAATTTGCTGGCGTGGTGGCGTATGCCTGTAGTCTCAGCTACTCAGGAGGCTGAGGCAGGAGAATCGCTTGAACCCAGGAGGTGGAGGGTGCAATGAGCCAAGACTATGACACTGCATTCCAGCCTGGGAGGCAGAGTGATGCTCTGTCTCCAAAAAAAAAAAAAATTAGTGATTCTATTCTTTACATTTAAAATTATTTATAGTGTCATCACAGACCCATACATCAAGGTCATATTTATTGCCCCCAAGAGAGTTACAAAATTATTTTCTTTTCCTTTTTTATTTTTAGACGGAGTCTCACTTGGCTCACTGCAACCTACACCTCCAGGTTCAAGCGATTCTCATGCCTCAGCCTCCCAAGTGGCTGGGATTACAGGCACCAACCACGACACCCAGCTAGTTTTTTGTACTTTTTAGTAGAGACAGGGTTTCACCATATTGCCTAGGCTGATCTCGAACTCCTGGCCTCAGGTGACCCAACCACCTCGGCCTCCCAAAGTGCTACGATTATAGATGTGAGCCACTGTGCCTAGCCATAAAATTATTTTCTAAACGCTTTAACATTCTAATAATAATAACTAAAGCTGAGTGCTTACAATCTGCCAGGCACCGTACTTAAGTCCTTACAATAATCCTATGAGGAAGGAATTAATATTATCTTCGATGAAATGCAAAGAAAGCAGATTTGAACCCAGGCTTTTTATTAAAAAGCAGATTTTAACTATCAAACATTAAATCCACCATACATACATACATACGTACACACACACACACACACACACACACTCTTATTCTTTATCATTATAACCAGTGTCTGAACAATGGAGTAACAGCTCTCATCAACTGAGTGCTACACCGTGCCAAACTCTTTATCTATTTTAACTCTAATCCTCATAACAGCTCTATACATTAACTATTATCATTGTCAAGGATACTGGGCCCAGTTAAATTAAGTGACTTGTCCAAAGCCTCACAGCTGTTGTGTGGCAGAATCAGGATTTAAATTAACGCATGTTTGTCTGCAGGCTGCCTTCCCCTTTCTTACTAACGAAAAGAAAAGAAAAAAGAACAAATGCTCATATTGGGGTTTGGAAAAGGGGGATGGGAAAGAACAAGAAATCTGTGGTAATAAAAGAATGAACTGCAACAGTTGAGCACCCAGGAGTTCAGCGAGCCCTAACTGCGGAGTGCATTGTTTGCAGGACCTTCCTGCTGGATTCCTGATGGTAGCAAATTCCAGGGCTCCAGACTGCAGGCTCAGCCTCTGACTAACACTGCAGTGATTTATTTGAGGATAAATACCTCTGTCAGTGTCTTATGACTGAACACAACAGTCCAAGCTGACTGGAACGAGCGGAATGCGAGGACGCTGGAGCTGAGGCAGCAGAGGCGGGAGCTGGGCCACCTCTCTGCGGAAGCTCTGCCTCCAAGGAGGAGCCTTCCCTGCTCTACCTTCCTGCGGGGCAGCAGCAGCACCCTCAGGAATTGGAGCATGTTGAAAATGAGGAAACACTGACTCACGCTGGAGTGAGTGCTTGGGGCGGGGAAGGAGGAGGACCTCTGTACCTGCATATGCAAAACTCCCTCCGATACTCAGTGCAGCCTCGCCCGGACTGGCAAGACAACTCTGAGAACACCAACTGCCTTCACCACTGTCCCCACAGTCCCCCTGGGCAGGTGATGGGGTGTCTCCAAGTCCTGAAAACTGGGGAGAAGCCTATCCCTTTGCACGCAGGGTGTGTGCCAAGAGCAGAGTACAAACGGAAGAAGCCAGTGCATGGAAGCGGGAGGCTTTTCCAGTGGAAATGTGGTGATGATGCACAGTGTATTACAGAGAACTGCAGTTTCATCCCCTGTTGTCTCACAAATAAGGAAACTGAGGCCAAAGAGTTGAAGCAATTTGTGTCAAGAAGGTAGAGTGTCAGCGGCAGATCAAGGACTGGCTGGATGTGATGAGTGGCAACCTGTATGAGCATAGGAAGCTGGCTTCCCTTTATGGGAAGGTCCCAAGTTTGTACCAGGGACACACAACGTGGGACGAACACTTCTTCGTGTACAATCCTAGACTCCTGAGTAAAACCTTAACAGGCATCTGCTCAGGTGCTGACCTTCCCTTCTATTTGTCTGGTGCATACTGACATTCACTAACACTGATTCTCCTAAAAACAATCAGTTATGTAGAGGTGAAAAGCCAAGCTTAGCAGATAACTACTTGCAGAAGCTCTAAGGGGAGGACATAAACTTCTACGGAATTTAACATGAGAAAGGTCCTACTACAGGTACGCTGGAGGGAAGTGGGACTTCATGTCTCTACAAGTTATCCAAATGAGTATACTACCTTCTTTTTGTCAGACCAGCAAGCGTTATTTTTCTTTATAAATAAAGTATCCTTTACAAATAAAGTATCCAAATGGTAACTTCAGAATCAGCACAAAGTTGCAAAACAAATAGGGCCCCAGCACCAAGCACCCTTAAGCCAAAATAAGAACAGAAGAACTCACAGATGGGGGCTGAAGATGCGACTCATCTTGGAGACGTGGTCATTGTCACAGTCTAGGTCCTCGTCACCTGGCTCCATGCTGAACTTCCTCTTGCTGGGGCTGATGGGGGGAGGACCGGTGCGGTGACTGCTGAGGGCAGAGGCCACTGGCAGGGTCTGCATTCTGGGTTCTCCTCGGAGAGCAGCTTCACCTACGCAGAGAGAGATGATGTAGTCACCAAGCAGGAGAAAGGCCCCCATCTCAGTCCCCCAGGCTCCCCGCCCGCCCAGCCAGCCCCTTGCAAAACTACTCCCAGTGGAAAGTTTTTGGCAGTGGGATGGGGCTGCCTGCCATCCCCAGAACACGGTTTGAGTGTGGTGAGCTGCCAAGCATGAGACATTTTACATCAACTTGGTTTTCTAGCACAATCACTCTTTAGGGTAGAGTTTGAAATAAAAAGTTGCAATCAAATAGCAGTGGGGAGGCAAAAAGCATTTGCTGTAAACAATCTCAAAAGTTAATTTAAAACAACAAAGGTCTTTTCAGGTGTGGGTATTCCACTCCATATGGACAGGAGAATAACCTCACCGCAATCATGAAAACACCATACCCAACTCACTTTCCCTGCTTGTTCTGTTTTATTATTATTATTATATTCTTGGTATATTATTTCTTTTAAAAGTGAGGAAAGTTTATGGGCTGTTTACACATTTGCTCCCTAAAGTTAAAAGAAACATATAGTTTAATGGGAAATAAATGTTTAATTCTTATAGTCCACTAAAAATTGCACATTAAAAATATTACCAGCACAAAGCTTCAGCATATAACTTATCACAAGCATAATACGTAGGTAGGTGCAGTTCTGAAACATTTTTCAAAGTTAGGCAATCAAATTAGGGTCCAAATTTCCATTTGATTTGGTATCCTGGCGTTTTTCCTAACTGTTTTAAAAGGTTTTGTACTAGGTAATCACTTTGTGCCTTGCTGTGAATTAAAATAAGCATAGCCTTTCATAGTCATAAAGGTTGTGTACCTTCTAAACTTTATAAAGACTAGTGATTGGGCCGGGTACAGTGGCTCATGCCTGTGATCCCAGCACTTTGGGAGGCTGAGGCGGGTGGATCACAAGGTCAAGAGATCGAGACCATCCTGACCAACATGGTAAAACTGCATCCCTACTAAAAATACAAAAATTAGCCGGGCACAGTGGCACCCCCCTGTAATCCCAACTACTTGGGAGACTGTGGCAGAGAATTGCTTGAACCCGGGAGGCAGAGGTTGCAGTGAGCCGAGATCGCACCACTGCAATCCCGCCTGGGCAACAGAGAGAAGCTCTGCCTCAAAAAAAAAAAAGGCCAGGCACGGTGGCTCACGCCTGTAATCCCAGCACTTTGGGAGGCCGAGGCGGGTGGATCACGAGGTCGAGATCGAGACCATCCTGGTCAACATGGTGAAACCTCGTCTCTACTAAAAATACAAAAAATTAGCTGGGCATGGTGGCGCGTGCCTGTAATCCCAGCTACTCAGGAGGCTGAGGCGAGAGAATTGCCTGAACCCAGGAGGCGGAGGTTGCGGTGAGCCGAGATCGCGCCATTGCACTCCAGCCCGGGTAACAGGAGTAAAACTCCATCTCAAAAAAAAAAAAAAAAAAAAAAAGACTAATGATTAAGAGAAAATTTCAAACTTTCTAAGTCACATGGGGAGAGCACCTAAATTTTTCACCAATAATAACCCTTTTGCTGTGCTGGACATTTGGGTCTCTCGGATCTGGCCCATTTTGTTTCCATGTGGTCACAATTTGAGAGTAACGTGAGGATAAAGTCAACGTCATCTGAGGCCTTGTGGTACCTAAGAAAAGGAATCTTTGTTTGTCACCACTCATTTTCATATCATCACAGATGTGTGGACAGTGTTCACAGTCATTTACTTCATACACATATGACAAATATGATTTTGTTGGAGAAAGGAGTGAGGAAAAAACCCTCTGAATATTTACCAGGAAAAATAAAAACTTTGCCAATTTAGTCAGCAAGATATAAACCAGCAAATATACTGTGACCCATAATACACCTCCAGCCAGGATTTCTTTTAAGGATTCTGGCCCCAAAGCAAACTGGAACTTTCCATTTTAAATGAGATACCTAAAACACAGGCCCCCCGCTGGCCTGCCACACTCAGAAATTCAGTTTGATCTTGGTTGGCCTGTACTCCCTATCAGGTAATTTTTCATTAAAAAAAAAAACAAAAAAAAAAAAAGCAGTGCTAATCTGTATACCTTCATAAATTAGAAAAATATCCTTTCTAATTATCTCCCGTCTTTGTGATACTTCCTCCTCCACATAGAGAGAAGAGGATGTTTCCAAGGGAAAGCTTCAGAAGCCCAAGCCCAGCTAACTTTCTGGGAAGCCCTGATGATATCCCCAGGAATGCAAAAACTGCCAATCAAACCTCATCAAAGTGGCATGGGCTGACCCTCCTCTCCACCCAGGGTTTCTCAACACCCCTGGCAGGGATGCGAGGGGATGAGGAGTTGTACCCCTGAGCTGTGGTCATCATTTCATCAGATGTCGGCTGTGTGGCAACAGGAGTTGCTATGGAAATAGCACTGCAGCAACAGACTGAAATCACTCCAAAAAAGGAGCCGTCACTCATTCCAACAGCATACACTGTGACGCGGAAAGCAAAACCCTTGGGTTAAGAACAACATTCCCATTCCCCTACCCAGTTTCCATCCTAGTAAAAATTCTCGTGCTTGTTTGTATTTTAAGTTCATCCAACGGATGCAATGCTTATCTTTAAGACTGAATCACTGATGTCTAATATAGAAAAAAAATTCCATAAGAATCCTCAGAAAACACTAGAGATTTCTAACCAGTGGGTGGGGGTGGGACTGGGTCTGGGGCTGCAGGCCCCATGAAGGCACTCCAGGTGTCCTTTACCAGGGACTGTGACAGAAGCCTCCACCAGGTCCCCTGGATATGGAGGTAAATGCATGCCACAGCACATCAGCATCTTAGGATGCTGACATTGGAAGGAGCCTGGGAAGCACCATTTGCCTCATTTGATGGATGACAAAGCTGTGCCCCAAAACACAGTGTGACCTACCCAAGATCCTCCAGTTAACAGGTTAGCTGGAGGCAAGAGCCCAAGTCCTCTGCAATCCGACAACACTTCCTCGTAAGAATGTGCAGCCTCACACAAGGCTTAGAGCAAAGGAAAAGAATCCGCACAGAAGCTCAGAGACAGTTGTGTGGCATTATGCATCTTTGGAGCCCCTCTCTAGATGGCCCTAACCCAACACTTGTATTTTAGACAGGAGTGGTGACAGTTGTATGTGTGGTGGGGTTAAAATAATTTTAGTAAAATTGAAGAAAACATTTGGTCTGGGAGACAAGACACTTACATTGCAAATCTTGCTTCTTCCTTTATTTAGGACGGGGTGAATGTGGGCACATGCTTCCCGTCTCTGGGCCTCTATACGACGAGAGGCTAGACTAGCTAATGTGTCATGCTCCTTCCAGCTCTTAGAATTACTGATGCAATTCTATGATCAACAAGTGACCAACCAGCTAGCCAACATTTACTAAGAAATTGTTACTTGCGTAACGATGAACTAAGACAGCAAAACTCAAGGTATGTACGTCAGACGTTATTCATCGAAAAAAACAAGGGTGACCCTGGGGACAAATAAATTTGAAAGCCACAAGACTGAACAATTTTCACAGGAGTTTAACTACAGGCCATTCTGTCTTTTTTTTTTTGGAGATGGAGTTTCATTCTTGTTGCCCAGGCTGGAGTGCAATGGTGTGATCTCCACTCACGGCAACCTCCGCCACCTGGGTTCAAGAAACTCTCCTACCTCAGCCTCCTGAGCAGCTGGGATTACAGGCATGCACCACCATGCGTGGCTAATTTTGTATTTTTAGTAGAGACGGGGTTTCTCCATGTTAGCCAGGCTGGTCTTGAACTCACGACCTCAGGTGATCCACCTGCCTCAACCACCCAAAGTGCTGGGATTACAGCCATGAGCCACTGTGCCCAGCCAGGCCTTTCTATCTTCTAATGCACAAGTCATTCTCTGAGATGGAAACCCAGCATGGCTGCTTTTAATTGTCACCCCACCCCCCGCCCCATCATCCTACACAGTTCTGTGAATTCCATCTTCCAAAGCGCCATTCTCCGAGCATGTCGGCCCATCCTCACCCCCGATATCCAGTGGCTGCAGACTTCTGCATTCAAAACCCCAACTGCCTTTCTTGTTTTTATTCCTAGTATTCCTCTTTTTGAGCCCTGAAAATTTCAGCCCAAAAAGTTAAATGAGACTTATCACCATTCCACAGAGAACTTGTTCTTCCCCCAATCTTCTCATATTTTAAGTTCATGCATCCTGCAAAAGACACTTAAAATGCCTCCCCCATCAGGCTGTCTTCCTTGATTCCTCCATCTGAAAGTCATCTCCTCTTCCTCTGAACCTCTATAGAAACTTACCACTCTGGTGCTTCCCTTCCTACCTTATTTTGTGTTCCTGGAAGCAGGCGGCATTTAATTCATTTAAGAAACCTGAGAGTGCAAAGCACAATGCCTTCCACCCTGTAGATGGTCAGTGAATACTGACTGACTGAATGAATGAGGCAAGGTTGCAGGGCAGCAGTTTACAGAGCTTTAGGATATGTTAAAGATCATAGATGCTATAGAATAATGAGTTTTAAAAGATCTATCTAGGAATATAGTTATATGAAGAACTCTTACAACAATTAAAAAGATAAAAAATAGAAAAGAATCTAAATAGGCATTTTCCAAGAGAAGATATGCAAATAGCCAATAAGCACATGGAAAGATGTTGTATTAGTCTGTTCTCACGCTGCTGATAAAGACACACCCCAGAAAAAGAGGTTTAATGGACTCACAGTTCCACGTGGCTGGGGAGGCCTCACAATCATGGTGGCAGACAGGAGAGAATGAGAATGAGCGAAAGGGGTTTTCCCTTATAAAACCATCAGATCTTGTGAGACTACCACAGGAACAGTATGAGGGAAACTGCACCCATGATTCAATTACCTCCTACCAGGTCCCCTCCTACAACACGTGGGAATTATGAGAGCTACAATTCAAGATGACATTGGGTGGGGACACAGCCACACCATATCAGATGTCCAACATCATCAGCCATCAAGGAAATGCAAATCAATACCACAAGAGATACAACTAACA